TTAAATACGAGAAGATTCTTTTTGTGACTTTAGGTATTCGGTAGTAAAATTTATGATATATAAATTAGTCTGATTTTAGTCTTTGGTATTGGTTTAGTATTGGCATTGGTATTGGTATTGATATTGGTATTGGTATTGGTATCGGTATTGGCATTAGTTATGGTCGTGGTATTGGTACTTTTATTGGCCTTTGAATTTGGTATACATTTTGTTATAGGTATTGGTATTGGTATTGATATTGATATTAGTATTGATATTGATATTGATATTGATATTGATATTGATATTGGTATTGGTATTGGTAATGGTTATGATATTGATATCGGTATAGGTCTTGGTATTGACATTGGAAGTGGTATTAGTATTGGTATTGGTGTTGGTATTGGTGTAGGTTTTGATATTGTTATTTTGTTGTAATTCTTAGCTTATTACATGCAAAAAGCGTCGATTGCCCAACCTCGTTAAAAGTATTGGGCGTCCCACAATAAGACAAAACTAATAGGAACTCTTAGGGCTATTTAAAAGGGAAAATTTTGCCACATGACAACAGTTTACCAATATGTTGAACAATTCTTAGGTAAAAGCAAAACCTAAGCAATACCAGCATGTCTATCTGAGCGATGACGAGCCAGCCATATTTCGCATCAATAACTTTAGACTCAGTAATCAGCATAACATTGAGAGCACAGACACATTGTATACAGTTGAGCCGCAAAGGCCTTCAATATGCCATATACAATTCATGCGCATAGTTTCAGATACAACTAACCTTAGCGTCATAGTCAAATGGGAATTGATGTGGGTGGCCAAGATGGGCTGCTGGTCTGTTGGTACCGGCTTGTTTACCTGCACACAACTGTTGGCTGTGAAGCAAAATTGGCATACCTAAGTGACTCAGCACATTTTACAGGCTATTTTACGCAATCAGTAAACGACCTATCACCATCATCATCATCAGCGGCCAATGGGAAAAACGAAGACCCTCCGCATTTACCACGAAGTCTCTAACGAAAGGTGAGCGTGTGTACTAGACCCTCAGCTTTGTAGTAGTAAACAGTAGTATTGTAATGAAGTGTATGCCACTTACGCATACATAAGCAACCAAAGTGGTCGACGCAACCCGACTAGGCTTTAAAAAGCATATTGGAAGGCACGGACTCTGGTCAGTTGTCGAGGGAATTGTGAATGAAGATAAAATACTGAAAGGTAATTCAAACTTACGCAAGCACACGGCAATGATTTTATTTATATTTATTATGACACCTTTATGAGGGTGACGGCGGTGGGGTCAATTGCCGGCCGAAATGTTTGTCAGGACACTAATAAATAAATTGAACACTGGCTTGGGTAAAATAATAAATGCGTTGTAATAAAACGAAATTCAGGCAAATAAGCGAGAGTGGTGTGAAGTTAAGGCAGACACAGCATCACTTTAAACTATGCAATTAAAATGTCTTAAGCAGTTAACGGATAGTAACAGAAGCGCTTCGTGAACATTTGCAGTCAAAGCTAAATGAGCCCCTAAAGTGGCATTTTGTTATTGGACAGTTAAGAATATTGTTTTGTTATTGGACAGTTAAAAATATTGTTTTTTTATTTTTGTTGTTGCAATATTATTCCTAATTCAATACAAGCATTAGCTATTTAAGCATACAATTCACATGCTTTTCGGCGTTTCACCGTGACTCTGCCCCAACGGAAGTTCAAGTATACTTTTTGGGGAAAGACATATTTTTAAGTGTACTTATTTTGAACTTATTTTTGGACATTCTCTGTAAATAGCAAAAAAAATGACAGTACTTTGCTTTATTAAAACGTCAATGAAATTTTTGCCCTTGTGCAAAAATTCATAATTAATCGCCAAACAAATAACAAAAAATCTTCGCTTAAATATTTGACTAAAATGGCAGTTTACTTCAATTGTAAAATCATTACTCTACAACAGTATGCGCACAATGCGAAAGCCAATTTATCTACATATATATATACTCATACCTAGATATACATATACCGTATATGATTGCCGCTATTCGTCGCAGCAAAATATTTGAAATATGCAAGCCGGAAAAGCCAATTAAAATATAAATTTTGTTGGGATTAAAAGCAACTAAGTTGGTCGTCGATTACCCGGCATACAAATGGCCATCAGCTCATGCCAATTAGGCAGCTAACGGTGTTGCTGTCCTTTGCCTTGTGGGCGTTGTGTGTGGGTAACAAATCGAATGAGCTGGTTTCTACATTATATTCAATACTTTCTGCAACTCTCCAAAGAGCTCGGAAGTTGGCCTTTCCGGCTTTTGCACACTTTTCTGGACTACATAAATATGTATATTGTATATACTGAGAAATATATAAATACAGACATACCTATACTTATTATTAAAAGTATCCTTCATTGTCTCATCAGCGACTCGTCTCTGTCTTGCCATTTGTTGTAGTACTGTAAGAAATTTGTAATTCAAAATTTTCCAAATGTAAAATTTGAATCAAGTTGAGTAGTATTTTATATTTGCTCTTGGGACCATTTTTTAAGTATTTAACTGCGGTGAGTAATATTTAATTGGTTAAAGATGAGTTATATTTGTGTTTCATACTACATAGACAAATATTTTATTGCCTTGTTCTGTCGAACGTCAGCGCAGACAGTTGCGTCAAATTAGAGCTCAGGTCCAAAGCTTATATTTAGCGCCACACATTTTTTTTTTATAATTTATTATTAATATCGTATATTAGGTTTACATCAGTTTTTTGTAAAATATCAAATTTCAACATGAATGTGGAAATTAATTCGTTTCTTTTCTTCAAAGTCAGCAGCAAACTGATACTTTCTGAATATCACCCTTCTCATTTACTGTGCTTGCCTATACACTTTTCCTTATGACCCAATGCATAGATGAATTTGTCAGTTGATGCACCGCTAATGACCCAACACCACAAAGTCAACTGGTTGTTTGAGTTCAAAGCAAATAAGTACCTCGTGCGTTTTCTTAATGCTGTGGCCACTTCAAAAAATATCAAATGCAACTCTAATTAAGCGTGGTTTATCCGTTTAATCAACCACGGTTGCTGTATTACGAGTACCTCTGCTATACTTATGGCAGATGCCGCAACATTAGCCCCATTCAACAATTTTTTGAGATGGATTGTCGAGTTGAGTTGTGTTAGCTCATTACAAAAACCATACTTTGTGGGCAGGATTTCATTTACGTAGTCTACATGTATTAGTGGCTTAGGCATGTGTGTGTTTAAAGCGCTCACCAGTAGCATCCTTTTGATGGTAATTCCATAGTGGCTGTACGATAATGCGATTTAGCCACAAAGAGCATATTTGATGTCCCTTTGGCGTGATTGTATAGTTATCTTACTTCGGAGGAACCATTATATTAAGTAGTATAGATTTGTATACGTCTTTAGCAAGAGGGATGTGTTCTAGCTACCTGATCTGTCGAGAGAACATTCTCTGGCAAATGTTGGGAAAGGTGGGCTTCGATGGGCTAATTGCCCTAGCCGTCGCATAAAGTCAATACGCACACCACCAAAAATTTGAGAAGCTCGGCTACACATCAAATACAAGTATGCCATAAATTGCTGGATATACACCTAAAACTAGTCATACTTGCTCAATATTGTGAATATTTCTTTGTTATGATGCTGTACTCGTAAAATTATCTCAAATATAGGTATTTTGAACCCTTATGAAGGATAAAACTAACTTTCCAATGTTTTGAAGTTGTTAGTATCTACTAAGCATATACCTACATGACCATATGCACTACAATTTCTGTAAAGCAGCATATCTATTTTGACGGTTCCAAAATAAAGCACTTAACCCTAAATTGTTTACTCCTCGGACACTTATTTGCTAAATGGATGACCAACTCAATTTGATTTTATTGCCTGCATTAGCTCACTTCAATGACATTTTATCAGATTTCGCATGAGATTTGAAACGGAGAAATAAAAATAAAGAAGTGAAATGAGCAACACATTGTCAGTTTATTAAAAGGATTACCTGACGGAAAGCCCAACTGGGAGCCAAACTGTGATTCATGCATATATGTGAGATTGTATATGTGTGTGTTATTGCGGGTGCTTGATGGACAACTGTAGTATCTTAAGGTTTTCGTCGAGTGCTCGAAGATGTAAAAAGAGGATAGAGAAGTCACTGAAACGAACGAATATCTAAAGAAAGAGTGACTCAAAGGAGATGGGAAAGTGACGAATATGCGCGTAAGCATTGTCAACCGCAGCAGTGACATATTCGTAACGGTGGTGATGGTGTTGGGACCATGTTATTGTTTTTGTCGTTGGTTTGGTAAAACGGAAATGACAAATAAAGTGCCATAATGAGCTTAATGGGTTATTGAAGGGATCAAATGGTCAAATTGAGAGACAGAAAAGAATTTGCAGTAATGTGTAGTTGTGAACACAAAAATAAATAAAATGAACTTAAGTAAAGTTAGGTGAGAAGAAGGTAATAAAGTCAAATAAACACAACAAAACCCAACTTAACTTCAGTTAGCTCCGATTTGATGCCAATATAAAGAAATATTATTTGATCAATTTAGTTGCATAACAAATTTAAAAGGTGGCAAAATTTAAAAAAATATTATCAGCTGTATGCTTTCTGACGCCTCTTTACTTTATATCTATGTTTCAAGAATTTACAAATCTTGATAAAGTTCTAATTATAAACTCTTATCAAATTTTTTTAAAACTTTCAAATAGTCCAAAAGTTTAAAAGTTTAACCGAAAAATTAAAATACATTATTAATTGTTTATTTACATATATTCACAAGAGAGTCACATAAATCCAAAAATTAAGAGCGCATAAACGATTGACGCAACAACTCCGAAACGATTTCGGACTACAGTGAAGCGTTCGACGAAAAGAAAGCTTTTCATTCAACAAATTTGTAAGAAACTTGGCGCATGCGCTGCAAACGCAAAACATTAACGGCTCGGCATGGCACGACTTGCCAACACTTGTAGTGGCGGCAAAAGACAACGCTTTTGAAACGACATGTGGCAGGTTTGCAACACGGCAAATGAATGCGAATTCAGTTCTGTTTCGACCATCGTGTGCTAAGGATGTTTTAACGGGAAAATTTCGAATATTATTAAAAAAACCAGCAAAGTGTGGTAAACATTTGAAGCAGCTTCAAGCTTGTGACGTGTTTGAAGCAAATAAAATAAAAATACAATAATAAAATGAAAACAATAAATATGAGATATAAAAAAAAAACTAAAGAAGCAGTGAAAATCCTCTCTTTATTATAGGTGAAAAAATATTTAAAATTTTTACACAAACTTAAATTGTAATTTTGATTTTAAAGCTCATATATTTAGTGCCATAAAATGCAGTTGGTAATAAAAACGTTTTTGTATGGAATTAGGTTAATTGGCCTATACGCGCCAGCCTCTACACTCACGTATTAAATATAATAAACACAAGTGCAGTTACACGTGCAGTAAGCTGTGTGCGAGCGCCACTTGACAAGCGCACACAGTCAGCGCCACGTGCTGTCTTATGCCATGCAGCGTGTTTGTGCGTGTAAGTGCGCGCGTATGGTGCAGGTGGACAACGCAGACTGAGCAGCGCGTTAGCCGCGTAGGACTATTAGCATATGGGGTCCTGCACATTAAATGGACACAAGTGGGCTGCATATGCAAATTAGAGCAGTAATATGCGCACATATCAAATTAAGTATGCCGTTTTTACATTAAAATGTAGGTGCGCTTAGTTGCTAGACTGCGTGGATGGAAAGCGTGTGTGAAAAACAACATTTTTTGCGATGGGTTAACTAATTTATGAAATTACAGTTAAGGTGTTGTTAGAAACATAGATATGAGATGGAAATGCTTCTACATGGCTAAAAATAAGTATTGTATGCCATAGAGGCACCTAGAAAGACTCAATCAAAGTGTTGTCACTAAAAAATGGGGTTTAATTTAGTGACACATACATTTGTGAATCCACTTTTGTACACCTGTATAAGTTAATTGACGAATTTTTTGAAATTAGTTCTCTTAGGACAAATATTTGCAGAAGATTTTTAGTAATATTAGTGCATTATATAATTTAGCCGTATTTTCACCATTCTAATATACTTTTATTTTAAAATAAAGTAGTTTATTCAAAATTAAGTAAAAGTTTGTATCAACAGTTGTGAAAAAAAGCATATTGCTTATTCAATGAAAAATTTTATAATAAAATCCTGATGAAAAATAATACTCAAAATATGCAATGTCACTGCGGGTTTATGCACTCATGTTACTCATACGCCATGGACTGTATTATAACTTTTTTCCTGTAGAAAAGTGTGGACTTTTTGCAATTTTTTTTACAATTATAATTTTTTTTTTTAATAAAAAAATAGTAGTTTGCAATAACTTGTCATTCATTTGACATATTGAAATAAATACATTTGGTGATGGGTCAGGCGATTCAAAATTTGACCGGACTGAAATTGAGTATTTAGAACATTTTGTAAGCAATTTTAGAAATAATATTCTTGAATTTTTGACTACTCTTCGGAACGTTTTATAATGTCATGTGCATGTCGTAATCAATAAGGATTTAGATAAATTGCATCTTTTCGAATTTCTGCTGAATTAGTTATAGTGAAATGCCAGGGAATTAATAAATTAATAACTGTTATGGTGGAGTCACCATTTTTACCTTACTTTTTATTTAATTCGAATTTTTGTCTTACCTTACATTTATTCAGAAGACGTTTCAATACACAATACTATCTGAATTGTGTACAACAAACACCTCAAAACAGGTTATGATTTCACAAGAAATATATTAAGATTTGATGCTTGAAACTTCTCCCAGAGAGCTAAAGAGTCTGAGTTCAAATATTTGAATCAATTCCTGGTGACTAAAAAATATGGAAATAATAATTCAAGTGATCAAATATGTGGAAAATATATTTCTGGACTAAAATCAGTATTTAGTCCAATGGTACCGATCACTTTCTGTCATAATTTATTTAAGTATTTTGAGTAAAATTGCTTTGAGATTAGGTGATGAATTTTATGAAGTGCCGACGAATGTAACAATAAAATGTGAAATATACTTGTATGGTTAGCCTAAGGGTATTTTTTAATGAAGACACTTAGATGAAAAAAACTTTGTCGCCCAAGTATTATATTGGAAGGCTTCATTTTGAATAATAATAATAAAAAATTTAAAAAAGTAATAAAACTAGATGTAACTTAGCTAGATTAGACACATTATTTTGGAAAAAATCGTTAATATTTCTTAGAAAGAAAAATATGTTCGAATTGATAATAGTAAAACTGGAGACTTTAATATTAGCATTATATTAGCATATTAAAGTCTTAAAAACCACAATTATACCCATATTTGATTATCGTATTGTACGTCCTTCTCTTAATAAGCATTAATAAATTTAAGGAAGCATAAACAATTAGAAAATTAAATTTTCATATTTTTAGAGTGATAAACTAAAGTCGTAATATAAAGACTTATAAAGCCCAATAAACAAAATGAAATAAACTACTTGCGCGTGTAGTTCGTAATTCCCCTGGGAGGTACACACCTTCCGTATTTAATTCTATTAGCACTTCGCAATTGAATATTTGCATAAAAGCCTTTTTATGAACGCGACGCACCGGAAGTGTGCAAGCAATAAGTAAAAGTGCAAAATAAAAATAAAGTAAAAACAAAAACAAAATGCACAAACAAAATAAAACTTTAAAACCGGCGCAAATAAAGTGTTTTCGGGGACGCACACGCTCGTAAAAAAATCAACTACATTAAAAATACAAATCAAAAAGTTTTAAGGCAAAAACAAAAACAATCCACCATTGGAAGTGTGTGCGCAAAAACGAGAAGGCGAATATATAAGAAAAGAAAAATAATAGCAAGCACACAACGACAACCAGTCAGCATTGGGGAGTCACACTTTGGCGCCGCTGCCGCCCACAAGGCGTGTTAATCCTTCGACAGCGACAGAAAAGCTGAGTTAAGTGACAGAAAGCAGCGGCTTTTAATGGCACGTAAATAATGAAAAAGACTTACATATATCTATTTATCCAAAAGTAAAGCGATGAAAGAATAAAATGTGCTAAGCTGAAAGAAGTAAAATAAAAATTACAAAAACAAAAGCATATTAAATACAATAAAACATTTTAATTTCTCGGAAAAAAAATTATAAATGATAAAAGTCACAACAGTATAAGCACAAAACATTAATAAACGGTACGGCAGCGGATTTTCATTTTGCGCGCGCTTATTTTGTACGGCGGCCAACAATTAAAAATGGCTTAACACCACAGACGCCACGCCACTTGCACGTGTGTGTGCGTGTTGATGTTTATCGAATTTTCATGTTCGGTAAGCGCGACCCGCTTATTTTTGCTGTTGTTGTAATTATCGAATAGTTTGTGACATTTCGGAAAAGTTGTGAATTGCAGAAGCAAAGCGTTGGAAAAGCAAGAAAAGTAAAAACAAAAAATTAAAAACAAAAATACAAATTTACAAAAACAAAAACAATTGTGAATGAAAATGTGAATAGCAAGCAGTGAGGAAAGTGTGAAAATAAAAAATAACTTTACAAATGTTGCTCCGCTGTAATCAGTGTCAAAGTTTTTAGTTTCACAACAAAGCGAGCAGCTGGAAAATAGATATGTAAGTATTACAAGCATTTGTTTAACTTTTTATTAATTTTGGCATTGCAGGCAATTGCAAATATGCATTATAAATATTTCAGCAATTTAAATTCATACCATGTGGGTTATATCCATTTGTGTATTTTTAAAAACATTAATTTTTTTCGCATATGTATATAGAATGTATTGAATATAAATACTTGAGAATAATGTACAAATTATAATTTAAACCGGCAAGTAGTTTCGGAGATATGAGCGTATTTGCAAGAATTTTTGAACTTAGTGTAATCGAGTCTCAAAATTTTAAGCTCGGTTTTTTTTCGAAACGCTGTTTTTAGAATTGGTGAGGAAAATATTTTCCAATTTTTCAAACGTCTGGATCGATTTAAAACAAACAACCTTCTTAGCTATATTTGTCAGGTAACGATCAAAAAAATAAGTTTTTTGATAATAATTTTGATTTTTAAGCCACTCTTAAATGTAAATTTTTTCACAAAAAAATACTTGTTTTAGAAGCTGTCATTTTGTCTGAAATAAAAATTTTGGCTAGTCCTTCTATCATTACATGTATTCATCGATAGTAATAATGAAATTTTGTGGTTTTTGATTTGAGTAAATTTTAGGCAGAAAATTCTTCCTCGTTGCCAGATACTTCGAAAGTCTTTTCGGCGATCAGCGACGGGAGCAAGGAAAAAATAATTTTTATCAAAACGAATCTCGGTTTATTAAAGTACGTTAAATTTTGTAAATGCCATTTATTTTTATACCACGAAAATACAATCAATCCATACAAGCACTTTATTCCGATCGTTCAGTTTGTATGACAGGCATATGCTATAGTGGTCTGATCTGAACAATAACCCGTGCCTAACTACGATATCTTGCCAATTGGGAAAGTTTTCTATACAATCACTTGATTCCGATCATTTAGTTTGTATAGCAACTATATGCTATAGTAGCCCGATATCGACAGTTCCGACAAATGAGCAGCTTCTTTCAGAGAAAAAGACGTTTGCAAAGTTGTAGATCGATATCTCAAAAACTGAGGGACTAGTTCGCATATATACAGACAGGCAGACGAACATGGCTAAATCAACTCAGCTCATCATGCTGATCATTTATATATACATTTTATGGGATCTCCGACTTTTCCTTCTGGGTGTTACCGACTTCGAGGCAAACTTAATATACCCGGTTTACTCCTTTTTTGTACATTAAATACAAATATTCAATTTCTACAGCTCCATATGTTTTTATACCCTGAACAGGGTACATTAAGTTTGTCACGAAGGAAACGTCAGAAACCCTATAAAATATATACATAAATCATCAGCATGATGAGCTGAGTTGATTTAGCCATTTCCGTCAGTCTGTCCGTCCGTCCGTCTGTCCGTCTGTATATATGCAAACTAGTCCCTCAGTTTTTATGCTATCGATCTGAAATTTTGCACCTGTCCTTTTCTCACTAAAAAGCTGTTCATTTGTTGGAACAGCCGATATCGGACCACTATAGCATACAGCTGCCATACAAACAGAACTTTCGGAAGCAAGTCTTTGTATGGGGAACTTTTTTATTTGATGTAATATCTTCACAAAATTTGGCATGAGTTAGTTTCTAAGGCAACAATGTAATTTTCTAAGAAATTATTTGGATCAGATTACTATAGTATATAGCTGCCATACAAACTGAACAATCGCAATGAAAACTGTATGGATAACTCTTTCAGTTGACGAGGTATCTTCACGAAGTTTGCCATAGATTATTATTTAAGGCAATAGTATAATATAAGAAAATATTGTACAGATCGGATGACTATAATATATAGCGGCCATATTAACTGAACGATCGGAGTAAAGTGCCTGCATGGAAAACTTTTTTATTTGACGAGGCATCTTCACGAAATTAGATCGGAATCAAGTTATTGAAAGAAACCTTTGTATCTGTGAAGGGTTTTATAGCTTCGGTGCAACCGAAGTTAACGTTTTTTCTTATTTTAAATGCAAAATGTGCTTTTACTTTTTCATCGCACTCATCAACAATTTTCTTGAACTGCATAAATTTTAATATTTAATACGTAATAACTTTAGCTTTGATAAATTAACGTGAAAAGAACATAACTTCACTAAGAGTTCAAGTATGAAATTAATAATGTATAAAACTCAAATAAATAAAACGAGCGTGACCCCATTTGCGGTGCTTCACATAACCAAAAAGCTACAGTGAAGTATGGAGCAGAATTACGGTACACCACTGCGTTTGCAGCAGCAAAAGCTCAGTTTTCGTAATTGCAGGCGTGTAGGTACCATGGCACAGACATTTGTATGTGTGTGAGCATTACATTTTAATTGAAGCAAAGAAACGATTTGAGGGGAATATATGTGTGTGTGGAAGAGCATATGGTAAATACATATATGCACATATAGGGAGTCAGATATTGAAGAAATATGTTAATATAATATAACACAGATTTTTTACAGTTATACAGATTTATATAAAAGCAAGAAAATTTGCCGAATTCTCTGGCTTGACTTTTTTATAAAGTTAATGTGTCTAAATGTGCTGGAAATACGTAACATGTGAGTGGAAGGCACAAAGAGTGACAAGCACTCAAGAGCTATCCCTGTACATGTAACGTAGTAGAGATCCTCATAAACATACGAAAATGTATAAAATTTCGTCAACTTCTACAATGCCCCGAAGCAAACGCTTTTTACAGCGCATATCCGGCTTAGCCGCCTACACATACATAAATACATACATATGAGAACGAGTATACACACAGACATTTCTGATTGTACTCTCAGTTTTTCCCACGTAACCTAATGTGTTCTTTGGTGTGTTGACAAAATGTTATACCATCGCTCCCACATTTGTTTGCCTGCGGTTTGACGAAATTTCTCGCTCAAGGACCCACTTTATTTTACTAGAAATTTTACGCCTTGTGTGCTTTAGAGTGGTGCACAGGAGTGCCAGCTCCGCTTTCCTTTGCATTGTTTCACATTTTTTGTTCACATTTGAATGCTTTGTGTTCTTATTTTTCAGCCAAATGCTCACACAAACATAATCCAATACAATTAAATGTGTGGTGGTATAAGTGCTCATATGTGCAAAAGTTTTGTTGCCCGCTGGCGTGTTTTTCTTCTGCTTGAACTGCGAACACATTTAGTAATATAATTGCTCTTAGATTACACTTACATGGATTTGTGAGTGTAATATGAATTATTTTGGATATTTAAATGAGCCTCGAGCAGGAAATTTTATTTAAAGCGTGCCTTAACAGATACTGAGAAAATCCGGAATAGATGCTTTTATGTACCAAATAGATAAATTTAAAGGAAATTCGATAAGATGACAGTCTAGCTGATTTAATCTAATTTTTGAGGAGGGAAGTCTTTTTGATTCAAAAGGGGTGTTAAGGCTCCTAGTAGAACCTGCTATATATTAAAAACCCAACAACAACAACAACTCATAGCTTATCTATTACCTACCCCTGAGCTTCATTTGGCACCGTCGACTATTTTTGTATCAATGAGCCAATCTTTGAGGCGATTATATTTAAGTATTTTTCTAAAAATGAGAAATTATTATACTTATATACACATGATGGCATTAATTTATATATGAACAAACCGAATATGGAAAATTGCAAGTAATATTTATAAATCGGTAAATTTTTTAACAAAAGTTTGAAATAACTACATATTTTTATAGCTTGACCTTTCTTTTCATGCCAATATCCAGTGTAAAGTTATTGTTTATTTATTTTGTAGAATAGGGTGTAATTTTTTAATGAAAGGCGTTCAACTCTAGTGAGGGTTTCTGGCACACCGAGGTGTCCAGTTGTAAAATCATAATTTTTCAAAGCAAAGGTTTAATTACCTGTGAGCGCTGCGGCTAACAACTTAGCCAAAAATATTTTAAAAAGCCCAAAAAACAAATTATGAAATAAATAATTGCATCAAAGCATATCTTCTGTCACTTGCACGCCCCTTACCTCTCGGCACTTTCTATTTGCTCAAACTCAAAGTGAGGTTTGAGCGCGCTTTCTATGTGCTTAAGTTCATGACAAATTGTGCTTAGTCGACAGTTGGTTCGCTTTGCTTTTTAATTTGATGTTTGTTTTTAACTTCTCTTTTTTGTCGGTTTTACTCCCCTCTGCCACTAAACTAATAGCAAATTCCCCAAAAACTATTTTGCTAAAGCAACGCCAATGCAGTGGGGCAAATGTACGGCTACGTGTAACACATGTTGAGAATTGTTTTGTTTTTTGTTTTTGCTTGTTGCGTGGTTTTCGAAAAACTTTCTCAGCATACGGTGCGGTTGCCGCTTTTAATTGGTAGGAAAAATTCAACTTTTTATTTATTTGCTGCTTGTGTTGCTAAATAAACAATGAATAATAAATATGTGGGGATATGTGTGTACGTGTGGGTGTGAGTGTTGTGTGCATTACCAGAAAACTATGTTCAAATGAACTCTTGCGTTAATAAAACATATATTTGTGTAATTACCTTTTTCTCTCAGCGAAATAATATTAGTGTAAATGTGTGCTTGTGTGAGCGCATCTTGCTTTTGGCATATGCAAATCATTATATATATAAGGATTATACTAAACAGTTTTACATCGTTTATGCAGCGATGCATATATGTATATACATTTTTCTTGCTCAAAACATGAATCTCGAAATTCTAATTTCTATGTGTGTGTTTTCTCCTCGTTATTTATAACTCGTCGAAATTCCTCTATATCTGTCCTTAGGGTACACTCATTTCCTTCTTTCTTTTAACCATCGTTCTTTGATTTGAGGCAGCCCTTCCGGTGTTCTTCTTTTCGGTGTTTCACACGTTTTATATTTCAAAACTTAAAAAAGAGACGCATAGGAAGGCATATAAAATCCAAAAGTAGCACCGAAAATAGTTTCATTGGAGTTTATGTTCTCAGTTTCTGCTTTTTGTACCCGTGGTAGTTTAAGCGTTATCACTAAACACTTTAAAAGTGAGACTTTGGAGGATTTGCCGAC